CAGTGTAGGAGGGTTCCCCTTTCTCCACAACCTTGTCAACATTTGTTGTTGTTTGTCTTTTGGATGATGGCGATCCTTACTGGTGTGAGGTGATATCTCATTGTGGTTTTAATTTGCATTTCTCTGATGATTAGCGATGTGAAGCATCTTTTCATGTGTCTGTTGGGCTAGTGGTTAATTTTATGTTTTATGAATTTTAGCTCAATTTTAAAAAAAGGAAAAAAATGACTTTAAAAGGATGTTAAAAATCAATTCCCTCTTTAATGGCCAGGATTTTAGCTGAATCTTTTTTTGCTGGGAGCAAAATGAAAATATTATGAAAAGCTTAAGTTTGTTTTTGAATAAAAAAAAAAGAGGGAGTGCCATGCACATAAATTTTGTAAATACAGAATCCAGTTTTCTAGTAAACAAAGTCATATACTGCACATTTCTGAAATGTTGGCTGTTGTGTTTCCTTGATTTTGTGATGATGATTTAAGGGTGTCAGGGAAGCACAGCTTAGTTTCTGATTTCATTATATGTCTACAAGTACTATTTGTTAACACTGAAGTGGGATATGGGAACAGTAAGGCCATTGCTATAATTAGAATGTCATTCTATTTAAAAATGTAAATTGATTAAGGACATTTTCAATCTTGCTATTAGATCACCTTTCCTTTTTTTTCTGAGCTCTGCAACTTTCCAAATTATATTCATATTAATAGAAGCCAACAACTTTTCAAATTAGATTCACATCCAGTCCTTTGGACCACGCTAGCTTAATATGTAGCTTGATAAGTTTTTAAATGCTCTTTTAAATACAACTTAAGCAGTAATCAGTCAGGTCCAAATTTCTAAGAGGATTCCTGTTTGGGATTCACATAAAATATATACATAGTTTGGTCATCTTTTGGAGAATAGCTCAGTCTTACTTTCCATCAGTTCAGAGTAGAACCTTCTGTGAACTGTTTCTCTATCTCACCTGAGACTTAAAACTCTGATATTTTCCTACACCTTGATAAATGTTCTATTAGTTGCAAATGCAAGGGCCACTTTATACTTTGAAATCAGTTGCTCAACAGAGCTCTCAAGCAACTGCCAGAGTGAGGACACAGATATACACAGAATAGACACAGAGTGACTTCTAAATGAATACAATCAAAGGAATTCCCTTTCATCCAATTTTCTTTCAAACTCAGAACTAATAATACACAAAATAGCCAGGGTTGAAAATTGGCAGAATTAGCACAAAGCTAACTTTAATATTAATAGGCAGTTTTTTGCTGAGGTAGAAAGATTACATCCAAGTCATTTCTAGCTTTAAAGATTTCGGTCAAATTTTGAATGCTATCAGCAGGTGGTAACAGAAGTTAAAGTAAAACTAACAATAAACCCTAGTTTTTAAGTACTCTATGAAGCAGGCATTCTGATACATAAAACATAATGGTTGGCAGCCTGTACTGAGTAACTGTTGATTTAAATAAATGTTTGCTAAAAGAGTGAAACATCTTACAGGGATCACAGATTCCTTAAAGGCCATCTAACCCAACTCCCTCATTTTATAGCTGACAAAACTGAGGTGTAGAGACTAGTTTATTTGCTGTGATATTTTTCAAGCAATAGCTTTGTTAGCACATCATGTGCCATATGAGACGTGAACAGCATAGTGGTTAAGGCCTCAGACTCTGAAGCTTCTTGGTTTTGGGTTCATGTCCTGATTTTGCTACTACTTGCTGAATGACTGGACAAATCACTTAACTTTTGTTCCTCATCCCTAAAATGGGGATAATAATAGTACCTACCTCATAAAGGTGTCATAAAGGTTAGTATAACTAAAGCATTTGGGACAGTTACAGTCATAGTAAACAATAAATATTTGCTATCCAAAATCACTAATGGGTATTTACTCTTGAATAACCTTTTTCCTATGCAGATCCATTTTTCACACTTATGTCCTAACACACTTACTAATGGGAAAGTTCTAATTCTTATCATTTGACATAAATTTGGCAGGATCCTAAAGGGAAAATGCC